CTGCTCCTGACTTTAAGACAGTGAGTTCTTAAAGGCAACGGATCTTTAAATGATTGACTAAAGAAATAGACCAACTATTGCCCAATGAAGTAATCTTGCAGTTTTGGATCACAAAGGAGATAAAGCTCAGGCAGAGGTATAACACATTTAAGGCGCTGATATTATGAATTGCAGATCCAGGCAGGGCCAATTAAAATAAACCCCAAACCTTGTACAGGTAATATGGAAAACTCATTTTAGTAGTAAAACCTGCTACAACAGTTTTGCCTGATTCAGCTGGTTAACTGCTGTGTGTTGAGACTTATTAGGTGGCTACTAGTATTGTGCATAAGCAAAAGAATCTTGACAGTTTGGGCTGCTTCAGGTGGCTTTTCAGCCTGTGATGTACAGATGATCTGTTTCTGCAAGCTAACAGAAAGCAGAATACGCTGCTGGTACGTAGAACTCTTCACTATGGCTGCTCAGGTACTTGTGGAGCCCAAGGGCCACAACATCATAGAATGGGATGCTTCATTCTTGTTTCATTTCTGACTCATGTTTTTAATAGGTATCAGCAAACAAGATTGAGGAAACAGTGTTGGGTGCTTGATGCCTCATTCAGGAGCAAATATAATTTGTTTTTCTGCCTCTTTTTTTTTTTTTTTTTTTAGGGAGACTTGTACGCGTTAAATGTTCTGTGTTTATTTTATTTTTGTTTCCAGCAAGGGCTGGGAGGCTTAAAACTGTCTTGTTGTTTTACTTCTTTCCCCCAAGATTTCCAGCATATTTGTAGGTGTTTTGGTTTTAACAACTTGGATTTGTAGTGCTAAATCTTAGAAACAACTTGATGCAAGTCATGCTGGGTTCAAGGTACATCTGACCTAAATAAGCCACCTTCCTTATGAGGAGGGAAATTGTGCCCTTGGCTTGTGACTGTAAAGGAAATGTTGTGTTTGACTAGCCACTGCTTGGGCATCCACTGGAGGCAGATGAGTGTCTCGTGTGTGTGTGCGTGTTGTTGCCTGGAATTTGTTTGGTTCAAGACATGATGGAAATAGTAAACATAATTGATTTTTTTCTTTCCACATATATTAATAGCTTACTTAAAATAGATCTTCAAGAGCCCATTGTATAAAATATGATTACCCTTAGCTTACATGTGAAGGGGATACAAAGTGTGGTAACTTCTACAACACAAGTGGATTCAAACTTCAAAAAAGATCCCAACCCACCCCTTTCCCAATCACACTGTAAATGAGGCTTTTTTCTTAATTTTAGAGTAAAACCTGCTTGTCATATAGTTGATCCAATACCTGTTGCTCTAATAGAACTGTTCTTGTGCGTTTAACTTTCTGTTAGTAAGATATAAAATATAATGGTGTTGACATTTACATAGAATACATTTTTGTTGATCTGAATTCAATTTTAAATTGTAGATACTGTTTTTTCAGGTTATTATTATTATAATCCAGGCATTTCTTTACAACCTAATAAATGCAATGTTTGTTTGTTTGGTTTTTCCCTAGATCTGTTTCCTCCTATTTGCTGTTCTCTACATAGTTTCTTACTTCATAATCACAAGATACAAAAGGAAAGCAGGTAAGCATAGACTTTTTAATATATTAAAAAATAATTTCCTTTTTTCAAGTGAATAGGTGATTCTTTTTCTTTTGGCCTCCACGAGGAGAGTGGAAGAGCTAGATCTCTGACCAAAAGGCTTTCTCAGGCTGCTGGTCTTTGGCAGCCTGGACTGATCTGATTGTATGTGCTGCTCTTTTGCTCTGTCTGCTCCCTTTTTCCCTGAGCCATGAGTTCCCAACACCTCCTTTGTGCCGGCTCTGGCACTTCCCAGACACTTCAGTGTTCCTTCTACTATCACTCATCAATGGAAGGAGTGCACTGGAGCGTCTCGGGAAAGGATCAGTGAATTCTGTAGCTGGCACTCTGCGGTTGAATGACAGTGGGTGCCTGTTACAGAGGTGGTGCGGATGGCCACAATCAGTTGTTCTGTTTTGGCTCTAAATTTAAACTGTTTTGAGAGGGAAGAAAGGGGATAATTTCAGGTAGATGTTTCTGCCTCCCTTGCCTTTAGATCCTCTTGTTCTTTTTGTTCTGGAAAAGCTGACATGAGTATCTTCAGGCTGTGTTCTAGCACTAAAGTCAAGTTCAGAGCTTTAGCTAGTAAAGTGAAAAGGATGTCAGTAACACAGAAGGGAAGTAGTAGATTTCTTCTAAAAATGCCTTCTTTGCTCAGGTACAGTTATTTCAGTGTTCTTAACCTGTTCCTTATGACCTCACCACTCTTTGAGGTAATCCTGTATGTTTTTTTTTTTCTCTTTAGAAACATTGTCTGAAACTAGTCTGTAGCAACTCCTATTATTTTCTTGTATGTTTCTTCTAAAGAAAAATAGCATAAAAAACATAAAAAAATGGCAGAATCTGTGACTCTTGACAGCTTATATCAACCTTGGTGCTAGTCATGGTGGAGAAGCATTTTTATGCATGATGATCTTGGCACTTAGCACTTTACTGCAAACTGTTGATTGAGCTATAGTGACCTGTGTTATAAAGCTGGATTTATGTTTAAAAAATAAACTCTTAAAGAAATTTAATACCTTAAAAAAGAAAAAGTGCATCTCTTTAAGCATGGAAAGTAAGAAAGTTGGATACTATCTTCTGATCCTGATATGCATTTTGGATACTACAAAGCTGCTGCCACTTGGAGATAGGGAAGAGCAGGGAGGGAGAACGGGTTTGGCAAACACTATTGGATATACAGGCACTTCTGTTACTTTCTGGTAGTTGCTGTTATCACCTAGTGAGAGGAACTGCTCTGCAGCTGTCCTGACTTTATGAAAGTTTTCTGAGCAGTAGAAAGTAAGGCGAACTTTTGTAACCTGCTAGGATCTTCCTGGGTTAACATGTCTGGAACTCTTTTTCAGGACAAACTGTTTGTTGTTTCTACAATAGGCTCTTTAGCCAGAATGATTCATAAGAGACCTTGACTTAGTCTCTCAAAACAGTACGAGATTCCTGTAAAACCCCAGAAACAATAACTCAATGTACTTTCACAGAAGAATTTCAAAATAGCATGATGTTAATGGCTACGTGTTTATTTCAAGTGTGTGCATGACTCTTAAGAACTTGAAACACCTGGCTTTATTTATTCTTAGATTTTAAAATACATTGAGTTAGCAGTCATGGAAAACCTGTGAGACTTAAAAGATGACTCCAAAATTATTTCAAATGTACAAATGCATGCATTTGTGTAGAGATGTATCTAGAGAAGGATATAAAGAATAAATAAAGGCTACATTATTGATTGACTTCTGAGTTAAATGTTTATGATATTTCAAAAAGTTGGAATATTGATTGAGGATTGAGTGAACAAAAATGGACTAAAATGTGAAATGCCAGAAGGGAAGCCTTGCTGTCTTAAATTCCAAATAACTCTCCTTTTCCCTCACCAAATCCTCAGGAGTTGGGATGAATAATGGGAAGCAACCAAGGGGTCATCACTACTGTTCTAAGTAGGTTTTCTAGTTTTGACACTACATTAATACTGGAAATGAAACATCTGTTTAGGGATAGTAATAGTAGTTAGTATGGACCCTGAAACTTCCCTGTAGTAGCTTGCTTGCTCTCTGTGGTTTCAGAGATGCCCAAACTAGTCAGTTTGTAGCAGCAGCCATGGTAGTAGTAGTCTGACAGCTTGTTTGCTGTAGAGCCCTCTGGAAGATGTTTCCAGGAAGTTTTGATCTTCATATTTAAATAAAGTGAAATAACTTTGTAGTTACATTGATTTGAAAGGAGTTTCAGATATGCAGAAAAAGAAAATAGTATTAATTTTTGGTAGGAACATGTGCAAAATTTTAATGCTAATAAATTCTTTTAGTAATTCTAAACTTTAATTGTAAATTAAAATTGTGCCTATGTATATACATTTTAGCCTGAGGAAAGATGACTAAGTATTGAATATAACCTGCTGTAATGTGATTTTTCAGATGAGCAAGAGGATGAAGATGCCATCGTTAACAGAATATCGTATGTATAGCTCTTTTTGCAGAAGTTCTTTTCCTGAATATATTGTTGTGATAGGAATCTTTTATTCTTCCAAATAAGTAACAGTTAATTTTAAATGTGACAGCAAATAGATTGCTAGAGAGCAGAAGAAAAAGATTTAATCAAGTGGTACTTTGAGTTGTGAAAGGCATGACAAGAGGCAAGGCAGTTTGGTTTAGGTCTTTTTTTTACTTGTGGTTTTCCTGGTAAGCGTGATGTTGGCCAGAATATTGCAAGAGCACCTGACGTGAGAGGTGGAATTCATGCAAGACTTCTGCCACCTAAGTTTAGGTCTCTAAAATGTAGGTGTTTGTATGGGAGGCAGGTGTTTTAAGTTTTCACTGCAGTTGATGGAATTCCTGTCAAGGGAGGCAGTGGATCCTGGAAAGAAACTTACCTCGCCCTGAAGTAGACATCTGTATTTGATCATTTTAATAAAAGCTTAAAAAAGAATAACAAATGGAAGACAAGCACTTGCCAGACCTGTTGGTCTGCCAGCAACTCATCTCCTCTTCCTGTTCCTTTGTGGAGCTAGATATTAATCTCTCTTTTAAATATGTCTGAAGATTTACAGAACATCTGTGAGCTGTTGCTGCCCTCTCAGTTACATGATTTGCTAAACTAAGTGGACTTGCTGCTTGCTTATTTCAATGTTCTTAGCTCTTCTCTGGTGATACTGTCATCCCCTTGGAAGCAGAGATCATCGAGTGTTTTATTGATTTGTCTTGTACCCTGGGAAAGTGCCGAGAACATTGCAAGCTGTTCACTTTTAGTTGTGCATTTGTGGCACGCTTCAGAGATGTACAAAGATGATGTAAATTGTTCTCTCAGTAGTGTCTGAGAACAATGTTTTATATGCATTTTAAATAGTTACTGCCACAAAATCTACTTCAGATCTAGAGACAAATAAATGCTTTTAAATGCTATGAGGAAATGCTTCCCTCTCAAGTAGAGGAGCATCTCCCCTGTGCTTTTAAGTGAAGTCTCTTCTAAATTGAATATTTTTGTAACAGCTGGGGTCTTAGCCTGGTTCTCAATTTTTCAATATTCAAAAAGTCGAAGAGTCTTATTAACTGCTATCCCCACCCGCATACCTATTTTCTAGTTTAGCTTTAAAATGCAACAAATATCAGCTGTAAATGTTGTTTTTAATGTGAAAGCAGTGTAAGATGTGATTAGTACTTTCATAGAGTAATAGCCTTTCAGTGAAACTGTTGTTACAAATATAGAATGCTTCTTGTTCTTTCAGCCTAAGCTTTCTTGTTCCTTAAGTGTGCATGCTATTTCCCCAAAACAATAACCTTCAAACATATGCAGATGGCTATTTATTTGTGTAGCATAATTGTCAGGACTTAATGGCGAGAAAACCAAGCCAAACTGCTGTATCACCTTGAAAGGTTACATTGGGTTAGGTTTCACAGTTACGGCTTAGAATACTTCAACATCCTTAAACATCCTTTTTCTTTTTGAAGAACACAGTTCTTTTTAATGCCACAAGATGGCATTTGATACAAGTTGTGTTTGGGATCTAAAACGTAAAACCTTAAGTATTTTAAATAATTATGAGAATTTTTCTGTATTGAAAAAGCTATCAGAAAATCCCAACATATGAGATACTCAGATAGTGCTCACTTTTAAGACGTTATAAGCTGCCCCGATTTTAAAATTTCTAAAAGTATAGAAAGTGATTATTTTATTTTTTTTCCCATTCTGAGTGTGCATGTAGGAAATAAACTGAAATAGGAGACTTAGGAAAAGATATTCATGAACTCCAGTAACTTAACGTGCGTATGACACTGGAATTGAATGTGCACGAGTACTAGAGAGTAATCGTGGTAGTTTGTTGAAACTAATTATTTTTACTGGATTCTGTAAACTACTTGGTATTTGAAATATGCTTTTAAGAAGTGAAGTACTGTGGAAATCAGTTTCTTCTGCCCCTTTACAATGTAGGAATGTGTTGCCTTTAGACACTGATTGATAGGTAGGCTAACTACCTTTTTTTTTTCCCCTTGTTCAGAGCATGTTGGTTGTAACAGTGGTGCATTTCTTTAAATTTCAGGCTGTTCTTGAGCACCTTCACTCTAGCAGTTTCAGCTGGTGCAGTCCTGCTTCTACCTTTCTCAATAATCAGCAATGAGATCCTGCTTTCTTTTCCACAAAACTACTATATTCAGTGGTTAAATGGCTCACTAATTCATGGTTAGTACTCAGCATAATGTAATTAAATGGATGTCTTCATGCACAGATATGTTCTTATTTTTAAACTAATAACTCTATTTTCATCTAAGGTGCTAATTGAGTTTTTAACATGTTATTGGCTGGTTTTGCTCTGTGTGATTTATCACAAAAGTCTGTCTTAACTGTTGTGTGGTTTGGTTTTTTTTTGGTTTTTGTTTTCTTTTTGTTAAAAGAATTGTGCAGACTTAATGGAATTAAACCAAATTCATTGCTATAAATAGTAGTGTAGAATAAAAGCTACTAGAAGCTGACTTAAAAACACACTTTCCAAACTTCTTCCTCATGTGTTAAAGTAAGATTCATAAGACTGTCTTTATGATGATACATGTAAATTTATTCTCAAAATAAAAATCTGCTTCAAGAAATTTGCTAGCTAGGAGCAGTTAGGGTTGGATAATTAAATTAAACTGTTAATGATTTATTTGTAAACAAGGAAAAAATAGAATATGAATGTTTTGAGTGTGATAGAGGCACAATAAAAATAAACTGTTTCAAGGAAAAGATGCAAGGGAAGAATATTACTTGTACTTTCTGCAATGATGCCTTGATGTCTGGCAGTGAGTTTTGCATGCTTTCCAATATTACTTAACAAGCCTACAACTATGACATGTATAATGGATACTAATATTTGAAAATAGCTTGGACGCTTCCATGTGTCTAAGGGAAATAACTGATGGAGACAGGACACTCTTTGGTAGGTTTGGCTGGAGAAGGGAGATAATGCCTTCACTATGTGAAACAATCTGGAACAAACAATTTACAAGCTAATAGTGCTGTCCTTTTTTTGTTCTTGTGAAGAGAGAATAATTGGACTTGGGAGGATTTTTCTCTGAAAAATGTACACTTTTTTTGCTAAATATCTAATAATGCTCACAGAAAATGAATGAATTTCCTGATCCCTAACTTGCAAGAGTGTGGTGTTTGGTGGTTTTTTAATTTGTTTTAAGCTGATGTGGATAGGTGAAGACAGGAAATAATGCATATTGTCTGTCATCTTTCTGAAAGTAGTTGAGTGTGTTTTGTGCTATCTGGGTGGTAAAAGAATTTTTCTTTTAAACCCATGAATAAGGAAGGGTTGACTGAAGGTGTGACCCTGAGTGGTGATGGGGTAGTTTAAGACCTCAGAAAAGTGAGGAAGGAAAACAGCAGAATAACAACATTAGGTATTGAGAGAGTAGACTTTGTCCTCTTCAATAAATGCGTATATGGGACCTCAGCGGGGAATACCCTGAAGGCAAAGGATGCCAGGAGAGATGCTGAGTTTCAAGGATAATCTTCAAGCATGATAATGTCCACCTCAGAGTGCAAGAAAATGAACAGGTGTAGTAGGAGATTGACCTGGCTTAATAGGGAACCTGAGCTCAAAACCAAAAAAAAAAGTGTGCAGAAGGTAAAGCAGGGATGAGCTGCCTAGGAGGGGTGTTGAAATATTGCCTGGGTTAATATCCTGGTGTGAAATTAGGAAAGCCAGGGCACAGCTGGATTTGGTACTGGTGAGGGGTTTGTATAGAGCTAGCTTCTTTTCTGGTGTGTGCAATGAGAGGCAAGAAGCAATGTTTGCGAGATGCAAAGCAACAGTTCTTCACAGCAGGGATGGTTGAACACTGGAAAAGATTGTCCAGAGAGTTCTAAATCCTTGGAAGTTTTCCAAAACTCAGCTGGCTAAATCCCTGAGCAGCCTGATTGCACCTGCAGTTTAGCTGTTCTAAGCAGCAGATCAGACAACATGACTATAGAGGTTCTTTCCAGTTGAGTTATTCCATGATCTGTTTTGTCACACATCATGGGAGATTGCTAATTTGGTATAAGACATACCATCTTCTACATGGAAGAAAAACCACCCAGCTAGTTCTCATTTTTCACAAGGATTTGGCTGCTCAGACAGGTTTATATTCTTTACTCCCAAATATGAAAAGAAATATTTATGGAAAGTAAACCTTCCTTCTGTGAATGAATTTACTTTGAAAAAATGACAATAAAATGTTTTAGAGTGAAAATTACATAATAACAAATTCAGAAATTTTCACTGTCAGAGCTGCTACAGTACTTGAGAAAACATGGGTTAATTAGAAATCTGCTGGTAAAAGTAGCTGTTGCATAGGAAGAGCTTTGAATTTCCCAGTGACCATCATATTTTGATTTTAATGGGACAATCTTTGGAAAGTACCACTTTATGCATGCATAGTATCACTTGTATCTCGTAAGTCCAGTAGTAATGGCTAGCAAGGAAATAAATTCAGCATCTTGGTGTTTCCAAGTTTGACTGTGTGCTGCTAAGCTTATGCTAGGGGTAGATGTAAATGAACTAAACCAAGATTTACCGCAGTTGCTGTGAAGACTTCAGAGACATCAGTGGTTTTTGGATCTGGCTACAGATTTCTGCTACTGCAGCTTGCCAAAAATTAGTGTACCTTATTTCAAAGCATTACCTTGGGGAAGGGCTCCCTCATGCGGTGTTCAGTAGGTTTGCACAATAGCACTGCGCTGCTCTGTAAAAACCTATTCCGTGTAGTGGCAATACCTTTTTGAAGTTAGCTACGAAATGCTGGTGCAAATTTTTGAAAACTGATAGTGCTGTCGCAAGCAGTCAAGTCCAGAAAATATTCATATCTCCGTAATACTGTCTAGCATAGCCTTCATATACGGTTTGCATACTGCTTTGCAAATGTTAGCAAATGGGAAGATCTGTATTGCTTTACAAGACTTCAGTTTTGCCAGATTTGTCAGTTTCGGATGTAGTGTGAGGTACTTGAATGTAGTTTTAAGGGTTTTTATATTGTAGACTGTTGCATTAGTTGTGGCATGTAGAATAATAAAAAATATATGCCTCTAATTTTTGAAACTAGGCAGAAAGCCCATACCTGGGTCCAAAACAAACGGTTTCATGTGATGTATGTTGAACTAAATCCAGAATTTCTTCTGACAGCTGCACTTGTGCTGTTGTTGGATACAACCACCAGGTGGGGATAAAATGCAATGAAAGAGCCACGAGTAGAAAAAGGACGAATTGCTGAGGGTCTGATCTATTTGCCAAAGACTGAGAGATTGTTAATTTTTGTGTTATATTAACTTGTTTTATGGGGGATATTGTGAGGTCGCTACACATGCAAAAAAAAATTCCATTAGACTGCTTAAAGCTTTTATATATGTTGATGTCTTCAAGTCCCTCTCATGTAAACTTACAATGCAGACACTGTAGTAAGAAATAATTGTTTTTCTGGGTCTATTTTAATTTGACTTGTGAAATATCAAATTAGAATAAGAAATACAGAAAGGGAAGAAGAGGGCCCTCTATGTTCCTTACTTTGAAGAAAGTGTATGTATACCAGGAGGAGTACAGCGTTGTCCTTACCTCTTGTAACTCTACATGCGTATTGTAGCCCTGTAGTTTAATATTCTGTAAATGTGGTTCCTATCAGCTGCTAATGTCTAAATTTATGGATTTCTTTAAAAAATCACCCCAGATGTGCACTGCTTTCCCCTCCCTTAAAATGCTTTGCACATACTATGCAGTTCCTAAGCACTATTTTACGTTGTAGATCGACATGTGATAGAGCTGCTGAAATTAGGACAACCAGGTATTCAGCTTTGTGTTAGGTAACCGAATGCACTATCTGTCCTTAGAGAAAACAGCTGAAATGAGACCCTTACCCCATCTAAGAGTATTTCTACTCTGATTCTGGTGTCTTAATTTTCTGGGAATAAAACCTCCCTAAAACCAAATCAAACCAGCAACCAAAACCAAACGCGGACTATTTGAGTTAAAGTACCCCTAGTAAGGGCTGTTAATGACATTCTTGCTGATGTTGCTATGTGTGAATGTTCCTTGAATGGTAACTGGAGCTTCCTGGCTAAGCAAATTTAAAAGGACAAAATCCCTCTCTTTGTTAGCTGCAGTTTAGCTACCTTTAGGCAGTCTGTTTTCTTTAGCAACTGAGTATTACTTCAGGCATCTTTTACAATTTTCTTGTTTTCTTTTCTGTAGCTTATCTGACTAAATTTGGGTCCTGGTGCTATTACTTGTCGAAGAAGTAGATTTCCTGCCACCTCTTTCTTGCCTCTTCCCCCCTGCTTTTTTATTTCTTGTTGAAGTTTATATAATTTACTTTAAAGAAAAAGGAAGTATATATGGTAAAAGCATTTTTAAGGGGGTGCAGGTGAAGGTAGCTGTTAACTACTGTGTGGAACTAAACACAGGAATTTCTCTCAATAATGTATTCCCTAGACACTCTGTAAATGTTTCTTTCCTTCCCTATTCTTTCTAAAATGGATAATTCAAAGAAGAAAATAAGCAAGCCTATTCATGAGAAGAAAGAAATAAACAAAGCTGTTAGTTCAAATTTTCCTATCATGGGGGATGTTCTCTTTTGGATTTCAAGTGATACAATGTAGTCTTGGTAATTGTGGAAATATGTGTGTTTTGGGGAAGGTGGGGGACTAAGCCTTGTTTTCTTAACTAGAAAATAAAAGCTGTATTTTCAGGGTGCAGAGCATGTGACACTAGTTGAATCTGTTAGCTGCTAAATTGCAGGTAAGCTGTTGCTTTTGGAAAGAAGAAACACTGCGTCCTGCACAACTTCTGATAGGATGATTGATGATGGGTTCCTGTTTAGGCACCAGAAATTGCCTGTTCAGAAAGTGTTCATCTTAGATCTTAATAGAGCAGATACCCTTAATGGAGATCAGTTATTGCTTCAGGTCGTTTTCTAAACCTTTTCCCTTCCTGCAGATGTCACATGTGTCTTACAGATGTCCTAATTTTAGTCAGTTCTAGATTTTTCACCTAGATCACAGAATGGCTGAGGTTGGAAGGGACCTCTGGAAGTAATCTAGTCTGACTGCCCTGCTCACAGTAGAGTCAGAGAAGGCTGGTCAAGGCAGTGCCCATTGGGGTTCTGAGAATATGTTGAAGTATGGAGATTACAAAACCTCTATGGGCAAGTTGTTGCAATGTTTGACTACACTGACAGTAGAAAAAGTTTGGGTTGTGTGTTGGTGTGGTGTTTTGTGGGGCATTTTTTTTTTGTTTGGTTTTGTTTGGGGTTTAATTTTTTCTGTTACTGTTGTCTTTCCCCCCTCTAATGTTTCAGTAGGTTTTTCAGTTCATGCTCATTGCCTCTTCCCCATTCACTGGATACCACTGTGAAGAGTCTAATACTTGTTTTCCTTTCCCCCTCTCATCAGATACTTACGTACACTTTGTTGTGTAAATGTCCCTGAGTTAACACTTGTGAAGGCTAACCAGTTCCAGCTCTCATAGCCTCTCCTTGTATGACAGATGCTTCAATCCTTAATCGTCTTCATGGTCATTTGTTGGACTCACTTCAGTATGGCCTGTCTTGTATAGTGGAGCCCACAGCTGGCTGGAGTTCTCCAGATTTGTGCTACTAGTGCTGAGCAGAGAGGAAGGATCTCTTCCCTCAAGCTGCTGGTAACACTTCCCCTAATGCAGCCCAGGATGCTGTTGTTCACCTTTGCTGCAAGGGCACACTGCTGGCTTGTGTTCAGCTCCTCTAAGGCCTTTTCTACAAGGCTGCCTTTGGGATGACTGGTCCCCAGTGTGCTGTCAGCCCATTTGTTCAGCTTGCTGAGGATCATCTGAGTGGCAGGCAACTTCTTCTCCCCATCTTGTATCCTCAGCAAAATTGCTGAGGATGCACCCTCTCCCATCATCCAGGTTATCAATGAAGATGTTAAACCCTATATTGACTCCTTGGGGTGTACCACTGATAGCTGGCTTCCAGCCTGGCTTTGTATTGCTGGTCACAACCCATTGAGCTCAGAAGCTCAGCCAACTTTCAGTCCAAATCAGGGTCCACTTACCTAGCCCATACTTTATTAATTAGACTGTGAGGGGATTAATGGGAAATGATGTTTAAGGCTTTTGATCCACAAAATCCTCTGCTCTCCTCTTGTCCACTGAGACAGTTGTCTTGTCATGGAAGGCTGCTGTTGCTGTTACTGTCATACCTTCTTCTGATTTGGAGGTGACGATGGCATTTGTGTATTGCTCATGTTAAAAATCTGTGGAAGTGGTCCGCCTGAGCTTGCAGCCTGTCTCCCAAGATTTCATACATTTGCTGCTGTTCTAGTTGGTATCCAATTTTTGTTTTAAGATCATTATACAAAGACATGAGTATTTTTCAGCAGTGACCTGTAAATAACTATCATAAAAAACTCTGTTCTGTTAGACTTGTATGTGTACTACATTGTTTTATGTAAGGAGGAAGTGTGGTATTTTTAACTTCTAAAGCTAGAAAGCTTATAAATTCTTTTCTTGTTTGTTGCAGGCTTATGGAATCTTGCCTCTCTTTTTTCAAATTTATGCTTGTTTGTGTTGATGCCCTTTGCCTTTTTCTTCTTGGAATCAGAAGGATTTGCTGGCTTAAAAAAGGTAGGAAAATGCTATTAAATACAGAGTAATTATGGTACGTATTCCATTTTCAGCCCTTGTTTCTGATGAAACTACAAATTTGGAAGAATTTGGTGCTGGAATGTGTATGCTTATGTGAATGTGTAAATATGGATGAATGCTTTTGCACAAGTAGGTGAAGCGAGTATTTGGTGTGTGGCTGTGAGTGGGCTTAGGGGAAAAATTATGGTCCTTGAAAAGCCATTTATACCGAGATCAAAAAAATGACTGAATTTGATTCTTATTTAATAACAGAATGTTTTAATCAAGATTTTATTTTTTGGGAAATGATTTTGCTGGAATGCTAAATGGAGAGAAGGGTCAATAAATACACTAGAAATAAAGTAAAAAGAGGAAGAAGTACAGGTTTCCTACTAATGGGAAGGGTGATTAAGTAACAGATGACCTAGAGAAAACAACCTTGACTTGTGAATTTTAAAGATTAACAAACATCCCCCAAAAGGTTTAAATGTGGTCAGCATTATCAATAGTATGTTAAGAAAACTGTCTTACATGAGTAAAGAATAACTAAAACCATTAAATCTAGTTAAATATATTATACAGACATATATATAAGTTGAGAGGGCTGAGTATTTCAGCAAGGCATGGAATTTGGCAAAACAATTTCTGAACAGTAAGATGATAATGATTATATTAATATGTTAACTAAAGAAATATAATGACTATTGCTGTAATGGGAAGCACAGCAAAATGAATTTCACATCGTAAATATCAAATAAATTAAACTGGAATGACTGTCTGGGGGCCAATTGTAACACATCTTCATTAATCTTTAGCATCCAAATGATTACAGTTTTGTTTTTTAATGATGGTGTGCTTGAGGGAATTCTGTGCTCTTTAGATGACTGTTATTAGAAAGCAAGGGATCTTGAAAAGTGGTCTGAAATCAGGAAAACGAAATGCATTAAAGATGGGTACAAAAGATGATGAGTCACTGGATCGCATGTAACAAATCAATGAGGGGAAGATTGTGATGGGAAGGAAAACATAATTCCTGGTTGCACTGAAAGGAATTAGCATTAAGGCAATGAAGTTGCCATTTTTGTTCTTGGGAGAATTGGGGAAAACTCAGCTGAAGTACAACATTCAATTTGGGATTTTAAGATTCATGTGAATACTTGAGAGAAGGCAGGACAATAACAACAAAAGGAGATGCTTGGAAAGCACAGCATGAAGGAAAACATTAATTCAGAGAATAATGTGGAAAAAAAACAGATCTAACTTTACAGCTGAAGTTACTGGGAGGTTACATAGATTGAGCAATTCAGCCATGTCAGAACGGACCCATGGGACCCAGCCACGATGGTGTGTCAGTACTGGTTTGGTGCAGCCCTTACTGAGCTGTTGATGCTACTGGAATCTTACTTCCTATTGACTCAACCGTAGAGGTATGTAAGTTACTTCAGTTACAAGTTTGGATGACCAAGCTAAGAAGTTCAGCTTCAAAGGAGTTTGGTGATGGGCTGCTGTGTTTAACTCCATTTATCCAGCTTGGTTGGAAAACTCTCCTCTTCTTCCTTTGCTTCAGATATCCATAGGGCTGAGAGAAATTCTAGCAACTCATTTTGTCCTTTTAGCTTTTAGATGGAGGTGGCTCCATTTTCCTTTTGACTATAAGTATCTAGCTCAGCTAATGTGTAACTAACTGATTTTGGAGGGGTTGGTCTCTGGCAGTCCAACCAAAACCAAGGATTTTCTCCATCAGTGTCCCATGCACGGTATTCCTAGTATGTCCCTTTGACTTCTGGTGGTATGTCCCCTTGATTTCTGCTGGCTCCAACCAGCAGATGCATTATCTATCTCAGCTGCATTAAACTTGAACTTGACATAAAACTTTGGTTATAGTGTAACTTCTGAACTTATGATAGTGGCTATCAGTAAACCCCAGTCAAGATAAGTAGGATCACCATTACATGGTTACACTTGGAAGTACTCATGACTCTAGAGATAGAGCCATAATCTGTCTGCACATGTCAGGAAAAAAGACAATTGTTGGTGCTTTAGAGTAGTTTTGCTTCTTCATGGGAGTAGATGAGATCAGATTTTAGTATTGAAACCCACCTGGGGGGGGAAGCAACCCAATTTAGGGATTTTTTTGTTGTTGTTGTTTTGTTTGTTTGTTGTTTGGTTTGTTTTGTTGCTTTGCTTTCTTCTAGATGTTTTTGGTATGTCCCAGAAGCCAGGTCTGCTTCTTAGTACAGATACGGCCTTTGTCCAATATGTGTTCCACCTGGCTGCTCTATTTTAAAGTGTTCAAAATGGATGAGGGCATACTGAATTGTTTTACCAGCTTTGAGTGAGCCCTAAAGCTACTGGTGAAGATGTAGGAATTGTGGTCTATTTAATATAGACATACCTTGTCGTTGAACACTTCTCTTAGAAAGTAGCAAATGTCACTTCTGGAGGAAGTTGAATTGAGTTTGCTTTTCTGTTCAAATTCTGAGGCAGATAAATGATTCTACTTGCAAGAAGTACTCTGTATATATAATTTAAAGAATTACATCACGTAATAGGATGATTAGAATCTGGGAAAATTTATGGTTACTTGAACTTGGGATTGCATGTGAGCTTTTCAGTTCTAGAATCTGTGAAGGGTACTTCCCATTTTTTTTCCTTAAGTTTTGGCACATTGCTTATTTCTTTTCAGAGAAGACTTTGAGACCATGATTACTTTGTAGAATTCTGGCAGTTGCACAATATAATCAAAACCAAAATTATTTGTAAACTTTTTTTCCATATTGTGGTTTTTTTTGTGGGTTTTTTTTTGTGTTTTAGATGACATAGTGTCATCAGAGTAATGGGCCAGAGTGATTCAACATCATTCAAATACTATAACTATTAACTGGTAAAATCAGATTGTAGTGATCTCAATTTAAAAGAACATTTCATACATTTGGCAAAACTTTTGCCTTTAAGAGAAGAGCAATCTGCTGTAAATGTGAAGACATTCAGTAAGGAGGCTGACACAGGCGATCTATAATCTTTCAGTTGGGAGTTGGATGCAAGGAGTAGG